TGAGCCCACCCGGGCACATCGCCAACTTCATCAAGACGGCTGACGGCAAGAACTGAAGCTCCCAATAAGCTTCTACGCCCTCTGTTCCGCACCTCGCAATCACAAGATGAGCAGCAGCGGCTCCGTCGTCCCCGACGTGGTGCACTCGGGCGGGTGCCACTGCCGCCGCGTGCGCTGGCAGGTCGAGGCCCCCGCGAGCTTGGTGGCGTGGATCTGCAACTGCTCCAACTGCTCCATGCGCGGGAACACCCACTTCGTCGTCCCCGCCGCCAAATTCAAGCTGCAGGCCGGCGCCGACGAGTTCATCACCACCTACACCTTCGGCACGCACACGGCCAAGCACACCTTCTGCAAGGTCTGCGGCATCACCTCCTTCTACACCCCGCGGTCCAACCCGGACGGCGTGGCCGTCACCGTGGCCTGCGTGGACCCGGGCACGCTGGAGCACGTCGAGTACCGGAAGGCTGACGGGAGGAACTGGGAGGAGTGGTTCAAGCGCAGCGACATCGCCGGCTTCTCCGAGGGCGAGGCGGAGGCAGCGGCGGAGTAGTCCTGATCACTGGACACTGGTCCCTTGTCAAGCGAGTGGGTGTTTCGGTATGTTTCTACCGGGTGCGTAATAAATGAGTGTGACAGTGTCGTTCCACGCAAAACAATAAGTTGGTGTTTGATTTGAGGACATTTTGAATACCAATTAATTACTCCCCGTCTTACAAATGTAACTAAATTTATAGAAAAAACACCAACATTTAAGACATTGAATTAGTAACATCAGATAATACTACTTTCTCAGTTTCAATTTATATGTCATTTTAATTTTTTCCGATATATAACTTTTATTATGTATCTAGATACATCATATATTTAGATTCATAGAAAAAATATACGATTCATAGAAAAAGTTATTCCCTCCGTTTCCAAAAGAATACAATTTTGGAACCGTGTCATATTTTGATATATCAAGTTTGACCAATTATAGATAAAAAAATAAAAATATTTATAATATGAAATAAATGTCATTAAATTAATTACGAAATGTATTATCATATAAATTAATTTGGAACCATAAATATGAATACTATTTACTAAAACAGCTAGTATATACCTTTATGCTTTAGCTTTCCAGCATGGCAGCATTCCCTCGTGTCTTTCTTTCAAGTTCCAAGTTTCATCTAAACCAAACAGCATGGCAACACGTAGCTGGGCAGGTGTCACCTTCTGCCAATTGCCCAATTCGATCTGCCAACGCAAGCATTCGTCTGTCCAGCATCTACAGTATCTTTTAACTCGAATCTTCAGCCTGTTCGGCTGTGCTTATACGACCCGGCATACAGGGTTCGCGCGTGATGCAGCCGCAACTGCGTGATGGCGCTGTCGTCTCCTTCTCCCCAGCTTGTCTCTGATATGTGATCCATCCCCACACGCTCCTAGTGGCCGAGCAGCATTCGGCTCCATCCCTATGTCGACGGCGATCAAATCTCTCCCAGTTGGCAGGGGAGCGCTCGGTCCCCACCCTACTTAGAGCATGGCTAATAAGCCAGCCGACCGCTGGCTGAGAGAGTGTGCCATGTCACATATATTAAGTAATACAGCTTGATCACTAGCTATCTAGATCGGCCCAGCCCGGCGCAGGGGAGAGGTAGACGAAGGCTGGCTGTAGACTTCTTTTGTCTCGGTACCTGCGTTTTAGCCCGGCGAAGAGCTAAGCGCCCGCCCAACTCTCTCTCTCATTTTCTCTCTCCGCCAACTCAGACTTTTATGACGTGGACAGGCATTCAGCCGGCTGAGTAAGCATTACTATACTTGCTCTTAGCGGCGCTCGTATCCGCCAGGCGAGTGCTCACGGGTCTCCTGTTCATCAGACGGACCATGGGCTCCTCCGCGCTCGCAAGCGAAGGCCTCCTCACCAGTGACAAGCCGATGGAATAGTATTTTTCTCTCACACCAAACCAGCCAACAGTAAATAATTCACGATCTTATACGATGAAACGAACATGCTGTTATTTTTCCTGCAACAAACTGTAGTATTTGTGTTACTATGCTGCTCCTGTCTTACTGACAAATGTGGAAACAGAACGGCATCGTCTTCGGTGATAGGATTCAGATTAGATCCGCACAGAATCGAACACACATAGTACTATTTATCAAATTTAATTTAAATCGAATATGAATGCAAAATAGAAGTCTCGAATTTCGATATGTATTTGGATATCTACTAGATTTTGACGATAGTATGTCTATTTGCGTGTCACTAGTTTATTAGAACACAATCGTTATGCATATAGAGAATATGATTGTATTACACCTGTAGATAACAACAACTCATAAAATAACATATATAATAAATATTTCAATAATCAAATATATCAAAAAATCAATAAAACAATAAATAAATATTTATCAATATGTAATTTAAAATATATATAATAATTTCATCAATATATAAATAACTAAAGTAGTTAAAATTAACATGATTAGCCATATTGAAATTAAATAATTATTTCATATATTGTTAATAATAAATTAATAATAAATTAATATAACGATATTAGCCATAGTGATAAGTTTTAAATAGTTTACATGATGCCTATCGTTTGTTATATTAAAATGGATATTATTTATATTACTTTTGTGAATATCATTTACATTACTGGTTAATCATAGATATAAGTTGTAGATGACTTACAGGGTACTTTGTTATTCATAGATATAGATAACGACAGAAATTGTACATTTTTTGAAAATGGATGTGGGATCCGATAGAGAAAAGTCATAGAAAAAGAATATGAATATATCCATTTTTTAGAAAAAATAAAGTTCATCCATATTTGAATCAAATACTAATATGTTAAAACGAAGTATATATGATATCTTTTAGCATTCGGATCCATCCCTTGCGAGATGGCAAGCCAATGTCCACTCAGTGCCGGTCCTAGGATTTTGAGGGCCCTCTAGCGAACTCGTCGTGACGGCTCTTCTAGACCATATATAAAATCTTATAATATATATAGGCGCTAATTTTACTTGCAAAGCGAAAATAAATTCAATGATATATTTTAAGTTTAACATGTCTGATAATTATAGAACAACAATGTAGACTAAAATAGTATATTTGTACTTCTAGAACTAATATGATGACCTTAAGAAAGAATAGAACTCCATCATATCTATTGCTTCTCATAAAAAGATACTTCTTTGGGTATTTCTTGATGCAAAATCATGAAGGACGGTATTTGACATGCGTGCTGTTATATATGATGTTGTGGCTTTGTGCGATTCCGAATGAGTTACTCAAATGGTGTTCTATGTTCACTATTTATGAATTGGCATCCCATCCCCCCTCGGTTTGTTTTCCAACCTCGGCCCATTTGCACATTCAGTGTTATACCATTGTGAACATTTATTATCCACTATGTCAGCAATTGTGAAACAAAATTTTAGGTGGGAATATTTCATCCTCTCCACTAATCTCCTAAAAGAGACAAAGAGGGACTCAGGATCATTGACATACAAAAATTTGTGAAGGCCATGTGTTCTAAGTGGTGGATGTGGTTTAAATGGAAGCGCACGACATTTGGCTTAGTTGGAAATAGTCAAATAGATGTACCCTATGACAATATCGATGTACAAAGAAGGCCCCATTTGGCAGCACTTCTAGAGTCACTCCACAAGCAGTTTCATGACTCTGGCCACCAAACGGAGCAATGAAAACAACTTCGCCAAGGAATCCCCTAAAAATCACGTTGAGAGAGGCCCGTTGGAGGTGGAGAAGCTGAAAAATCCGCTTGTATTGGCACCTTTGCTCGATGGACACCGATGCCCTTGGCCCATGTGTCGCCCTTCTCCTCTTGCAGGCTCCACACACTGTTGTTCTCCGACATCTTGTACTGGGCTCCACGCTGGTGTAGGCGAGGAGGTGAGGCCACCGGCGACACAGACCGAAAAGGGAGCGCAGAGGAGAGGGCTAGCGGACGAGGAACGCAGAGAGGAGGGATGGCGTAGGCGGAGAGGAGCAGTACTAAACCACAGAAAGCGTGTGCGGTGGAGAAAGATGAAGTGGCATACGGTGGAGACGATAAGATGGAGAGTGAAGGGGAAAATGAGGGAAGTAAAACAACATAAAGGTATCTTAGATATTTTGCTTTTTCAATAGGTACGGACGCCCGCGTTGGGGCGAGGCTCGCGCTAATAGGCGGGAGACCGTGCCGCCTGTTTTTGTGCCCTACCACGTGGACCCCACGCTGCTTCCTGCCTTGACTATCGCACTTGCTCTGTTTCACGCGCACACGTGGGAATTGTGCCCTACTATCCACGCTGCTTCCCGCCCTGATGTGACCGTCGCACCCGCATGCTGGAAAACCATGTGGGTCCGAGTCACCTGCCCCGCTTGTGGATGCCCGCAGCGGATGCGTCTGACGGCCTCAAGCGCCCACAATATGACCCACGGCGGCGTCCCAACAGCTGTAGCAGGCGGCTGCAGCAGGTGGGTACCATTGCAACATGTACAACACAAGATGTACTTTTGCAACATCTATATGAAACAGTTGCAACATGAGTTCGAAAAATACTGAAACACTTGCAACATACATCTGAAACACTTGCAAACACCTGAAACACTCGAAACACCTATGTAGCCATTGCAAACATATGTAACATCCAGATTTACTTTTGCAACATACATATGAAACACCTGAAATATTTGAAACATACGCATGCAACATGCAATATCCAGGTCCACTTTTGCAACATCCAAATGAAACCCTTGAATCATACATATAAAACACCTGAAACACTCGAAATATACACTTGCAACATTAAACATATGCTTGCAATATGCATATATAGCCATTGCAAAATATGCAACATCTAAATGAATCACTTGAAACATACGTTTGAAACATCTGAAACACTTAGAAACACGGCATCGCCGGCGGGAACGACTCGTCGCGACAAGAAGCTCAGGTCGGTGGTGGCGCGATCCCTGGTGTCTTCGGCCGACGATGACCTTCTCCTGGTGGCGCCGGGGTGGTGGTGGCGCGGCGAACGCGGCCACCGCGACAGGCGAGGCGGAGTGGGGCATGGCAGGGGATGGCCGCGGCGGCATGAGTATGGAATTTTTTTTTGGGAGAGATGGGGGAGGCTTAGTGGTGAGTAGATCTGTTGGGCCGGTCCGCTGCAGGCTTGGAGAAAGCCGCGTTCCGACGGACAAACGCCTACGTCTGAGCATTATCATTTTCAATAGCAAACCTAAGTTATTTTACTAATTTTTTTCAAATAAGTGAAACTGAAGTTTTAAAAACCTGTTTTATTGTCAGTTCCGAGTCAAAGTCAGCTGCAGCGTGCAGGAACCGTTCGCGTGCTTCTGCTCTCTGCACTTCTGAAGACCTTCATGGCCTCCGAGGCGGCAGTCGTCCACACCGGCGGTTGCCACTGCCGGCGCGTGCGGTGGCAGGTCGAGGCCCCCGCGAGCGTGGTGGCGTGGATCTGCAACTGCTCCAACTGCTCCATGCGCGGGAACACCCACTTCATCGTCCCCGCCGCCAAGTTCAAGCTGCAGGCCGGCGCCGACGAGTTCATCACCACCTACACCTTCGGCACGCACACGGCCAAGCACACCTTCTGCAAGGTCTGCGGCATCACCTCCTTCTACACCCCGCGGTCCAACCCGGACGGCGTGGCCGTCACCGTTGCCTGCGTCGACCCCGGTACCGTGAAGCACGTCGAGTACAGGAAGTTCGATGGGGGGAACTGGGATAACTTTTTCAGGACCAGCGACATCGCCGGATTCTCCAAGGACAAGGCGGAGGCGGCGGAGTAGCGGGCAGGTCAGTCCGTGTTTTTACCCTCACGAAGGTCAGTTTGGTTTGTGGGTGAATGAATAATTACCTATCCGTGTTTGTGAATTGCAAACTTGATTAGTGGAAATTGTGGAGAGAACAAATAAGCAATTGTCAGTTGGAGCTGGGTGTGGCAACTGTATTACAATTGGGATTTCCAAAATGGATGGTTTCAAGTATTGTAGTGCCCAATTCAACTCCTACAGCATGGGATTGGGCCTAATAGTTTAGTAGCATGATGGGCGGTTGTTCAATTTGGGGGAAAAAATCAGAGAGTGAACATGTAGAGAACCGAGATTTGAGGAATGTAATTCACTGGTGTTTAATACTTTAAACTAACCTCCATGAGGAGATATTCCTAAAAGATCATTAGATGGCGAGATTGCCAATGTGGAATGATATCTGAAGTAAAGTTCAAGAGAGTAGCCACATTCACTAGAGTGCTTTTCAGGCTAGACAAACTTATCCTTTTAATTTCCACAGCAATATCACTAAAAACACCAAAGTTTCATCAACAGATTAAAGAAAAAGAAGTATAGCGTTTACTGACTAGAGATAGGCTAACTTTTGGGCTTTAAGCCCTCAACACCATCTCTGATACAATCACACATAGGGACAAAACAATAATAGGCAATATAATGAGTCTCAAAGAAGTGATAATCAGTTCGCTATTACTTTAAATATAGAAGTTGACAGCAGTAGATGAACTCAGGACAAGCTGCAGTATAACCCATAATCAATTCAAGGAGACATACAAGACTCTGCCAAAGTTGCTAGGTTGCCCTCTGCGCTGTAGGCTTTCAGGCATGACCACCCTGTGATCGAAGATCATCCTCATCCATGGCTTTGCCAGCAAGATGTGGCCACAGAATAGATTGACGGACACCTGATGAAGAAGGAGGCCATGAGAAATGAGGCTGGCTCAGGTGGTGATACTGCAAAGGTGTAATGGTCGATTAGCATGGGAGAGCATAGTCTTTTTGTAGGCTCGCACTGGAAAGGGATCTACTTAGTATATTCGTTGAGCACAAACTTTGTTGGAACGCCCTTTTATGGTTCTCTTCTTTATGCTTCACTAGCAAATGGGGGTCTAGTGCAAAGCTTACTTGGTCTGTAACTTGGTGTGGAACCTGTTGGTGGTTGAGAAAAGGAAAGTGATAGACTTTTGTTTAAAAGATCTATAGCACATCATTGATTAAAACCGGTTATAAAAAGGAAGGGAAGAGCTATAGCACTTGCTGATCATACTGATACAAGGGGACTGTGCAGTTGTACCCTGTAGCAAAAGCATTGCATAGTTGTAGGGGGCTATTAAGCATTTGAATGCTCATAGCAAAGTGATAATACATTAGGTTGAAGCATTTTAGTTGGTTCTTGCAATTATTAGTTTCTCACAGTGGATGACCAATGAAAAATCACCCATGACAACATAGTTGTGAAATTGGCTATATGAATTACATAGGTTGCTGAACCTAATTATGAGAAATATGTTAAACTATAAGGCACATTATTTTCACTGTAACCAATCTTTGTGCACCTGATATGGCTCCCAATTCTTAGTTGGTTAATTAGGCATTTATTTCCTTCTATGCATGCAGATGTCCTATGTGGAACTGGTATTATTTCCTCATCATTAATCATCTTAGAGCATCTCCAAGAGTATGCTATTTTTTCCTCCTAAAAACATGTAGCTTTGCAACTCCTAAAAAGGTATTGGTAGAAAAAAAAGGCCATCTCCATGAGTTTCTAATAATCCACTCCTAAAACATAGGCCCTGTTTGCTTGAACTTATCAGCCATACCGTTTCAGCGAAATAACAGTATTTTTCTCTCACAACAAATCAGCATAAGCCGTTTTTTCCATCCAGCCGAACAGGGCCATAGAAGACAATTTTACATCAGGAATTATATGCTATTTCTAAATTATCGTAACCACTTTTATATATTCTTTCTCTCTCGTACATTTGCATCAGGAACCCTTTTCAACTTCTTATTCTTTCCCACACCCTTCCACCTTTAGACTGATCGATACGCATGGGATCTGCGCGACTGCTACTACGCGCAAAGTTATGCGCGACGGGGGAGGGTTTCCTAAGTGCTTAAATTTTAGGAGCATGGATTAGGAGTTGTTGGAGAGATATTTTTTCTTATCTTGCTAAAAAACAAGGATTGGGAAGGAAAATAGGGTAGTCTTGGAGATGCTCGTAGTTCTGAAGGTTGGATCAGTTTAGGTTATTTTCTTTGAACTAGGATATTCTTCTTTTTGCAATGCATTTCTCTTTACCCTGTGGCAATGAAGACACCATTTTCTTAAGCTGCTAACCCCTCCCATCTTCATAATTGCACTTTCTGGACCTCTCTGATGCCATTGCATTTCCTTGTTTATGACAAAAAAAAAATGGCACAAACCATAGACCACACAATCTATCAAAAGCAAAGACGTCCGCTCAATATGAAGTGGCTCACTTTTCTACAACTGATTACCCTGTTATAAAAAAAACTGATTACCTGATGCGTCAAATCCTCTTGTGATAAAGCGCCGGTGACATTTGGCATCAGTGTTTCAATCGGTGGGCAATAATGCAGCGGCAACTTTTCTAGAACCGGGGACTAGTGATTGGCCATGATTGAAAGAATGCACACCGGTGAAGCAACAACACTTGGGCCGTCTCGGTGGAAGTTTTATAAGTTTCATTTGCATTTAATAACCTGCCACATATGCATTTTTGATGACATGACAATGTTTTAATGAAGAGAAAGAATAATTGAGTTTCATGGGGATGAAACTTTCTTGGTACGATTATCAACTCTCTATGAGTCAGAGAATTAAATATATCTATGAAATTTTGCATCGAGAGTTGGTGTTTCATCCAAATTTCATTTCATTCTATATGACATGGCATTATTCGAAACAACGAAATGAAACTCTCCATTGAGACTGGCCTTAGCAAGTTCCTGAACCGTTTCCAAGTTTGTGTGGCATGTTGATCCAAACGCAGTACAGACACCAAAGCTATTAAAAGTGCTAGGTCATGCCCCTTAGTGTTGACAAGGATTTTCAGGAGCGTGTAACCTAACCATACTAAACCCACTTGATGTTATAACGGTGAGCCATTACAGTGAAGAACCTTTTACCATTTTGCAGTGAAGAACCTTTTAGCAAAATATGTAGTGGAAACCAACTTGGATCAACACTGTAATGACTCAGTGGAAACCAACTTGGATCAATTCACTGATATAAAGCGACATAAATAGCATCTTTCACATGTATAAATTGTATCATTCAAATTGTAACACGATAACAAGCATTTAAAACGGGATTAAAAGCGAATATGAGGGACAAATGAGTCACAAGCCAGTCTCAGTGTAGATGAAGAGAGAGAAGATGAAAATTTCATGAGATGAAACTTGTTTACACTATTTCAACATATGAGAATCTTGGAAACTGAGACTGGCCTTAAGCTCGGTTCTGCGGGGTTCGCTAGCGTATGTTCAAACTAAATCAACCTTGAGCCGACCAAGCTTGTTTTGCAGGCCTCGCCGGTCAACTGGAAGAGACTTTGTGGGTGCTCCTGTTTGTTGAGTGCCATGCAAAGCAATGTTGCCACCGGTTCGGTTGGTGCCATAACGGGGGAGTAATCCATGGTTTCGGTAGGATTGCTGTCAAAGAAATATTGTCAATAACAACCTTGGGGCAAAGGTATGGGTGGCAAGAACGGTTAACACGTGGGTTCATCATTGGCAAGCCAAACTTTTGCTGCCTATGATTTAAGGCTCTGTTTGGCACAGTTCCACCACTAGCTCTAGAGTTGTTTAGAGCCGTTTTGTGCCAAACATGATAAAACTAAATAACTCCATCCAAGGAGCCCCTTAAAAACGGATGAGACAAAGAACTAACCCTTAAAACCTGCCGAGACAAAGAACTAATAGAGGGTGGAGCTAAAAATAGTAGCTTCAGCTAGCTCCACCTCGCACAGTGGGTCCCAACTCGTGTTAAAGTTTGTCTTTTTTTGCGCCCATCAACAGGTGTGAGGAGGGAGCAGCCATCGGGCCATGGCACGAGTGGGGCAGATAGGGCGCGCCGCCGCAAAGTTCAGGCACGACCGCCATGGCGTGCACTGTCACACCCTAAAATTTTCATTTTGGGATGTGATTTGAAAACACTAAATAAAATAAAGAATTTAATAATTTTTCTAGAAATATCCAAGATTTTATTAATTGTTGTCCAAACAGAATGAGAAAAATGTGGATTTATAAAAACTTTTACAAAGTTAATATGAGTGTGTTTGTGTGCCTTTGTGCTTTTGTGTGGTTGTGTGAAAAACGAATTTCTAAAAATAGAATCCAACCGCGAATAGGTCTTTTTCGTTTTTGGAAATTAAAACTTCAAAAGTCTTGTTTAAAAATCAGTTCAGATTTGAGTTTGAAAAACTTTTGAAAAAATGTGTTTAAAAGAAAATATGTTTAGCTTTCAAAAATAGCCTAAAACATGTTCCAAAACTAATCTCAATTAATTAATCAAATTTTGGTTTTAAAACTTTTTAGAAAAGTGGTTTAAATAATTTTGAATAAAAAGAAAAGCCTTTTTCTTTTTCTCTTTCTCCCTCCCTCACTTTTGGCCCGCCCTCGCTTGGCTGCCGGCCTGCTTCCCTCCCCTCGCTCGCGCGCACCCGAGTGGGCCGCCAGCCCGCCAGCGCGGCCCAGCGGCAGCAGCGCTCGCCCGCGCGCAGCAACCGGCCCAGCAGCAGCCCAGCCAGCCCCACCCGCGCCACGCCGCGCCGCTGCCGCTGACAGGTGGGGCCTACCAGTCGGTGGGGCCAACAGCACAGTGTCGTCTCCTTCGTGGAGACGGACACGGGCTCGCCGAGCCGCACCGCGCCGCGTCCGCGTGCACGCGAACCAAGGTTCGCCTTGGCCTCCCTTGCCCTAAAAAGCCGATGTGCCAGCCTCCGCGCGGCCTTTTGCCAAACCCTAGCGGCCAG